ATGGGCGAGGGTTAATACTAACTAACATATTATACAAAACATAGCTCCGCACCTCGATGCACGTGTGACATAAGTTTTATCGGCTGTCCCATTGCCACGCTTAAGTACTTCGTAATACGCATAGCAAGTAAATGATAGGCGCTATCTTGGGCATAGGGCATTTTAACCCGCGCACCGACGGGGGTCTGCGCCAACTTCGCACCGACGGGGGGAGCGGATGACCGCCCCCCCCCCTGAGATCTCGAGAACGAAGCAAGATAGCGACAAGCGGTAAACGGCATCGGATACGCACGGCCAAGATCTACAATTTTTACTAAGGTCATTTTCAGGTCAGGTCAAAGATGACGTCACAGGGGTCGAAAAAGTCAAAATGGCGGCGCTAGATATGGAGAGAGTTTTTCTCGAATAACTTTCGAATTAGTCAAGATAGGAACAAACTAAGGGCAACATCGTGATCCTCTCGTCAATCCGCATCGAATGATATATATGTTGACCTCGAAAGGTCAAGGTCAAAGGTTGACCTCAGGTCACGTGACTTCGAGGTCATCATGTATATCATTCGATGCGTCTTGACGAGCTGAACACAATGAGACCATCCACGCGTCTGTATCTTGTTCCTGTACGGAGTTATTGGCCAAAAACCTTTGGTGACCTTTGATGACGTCACATGACCTCACAGCTGCCCAACAGCAAAACAGACCTCAAGGTAGTGAAGGTTGATCGTATATGAAGTCATGTATGTATATGGGGCCATTCCGACCCGTTTTAGTGGTAAAAACAGGGAGTTGATTTTTCCCCCATTGACTTATAATGGGGAGGTCGCGAAATTGACCTGACCTTAGGTCACCGATATCAAAATTCTGAGATAAACAAATTGTAGCTACCAATGACCTAATAATATCCTGCGACTTTCAAAGGCCTCCGACATCTACTGTAGCTCTGGCACGGTGACAAAGTTGCAAAAAAGTGACTTGAGGTTGGGTCATTCAAAGTGACCTGGTGACCTGACCTTAAAAGGTAGGAGGTTTAAACTTGCACACCATGTGTAAAATTGATGAGGTTATAGTCATACCAAATTTCGCGGCGCTACGCGCCGCGGTTTTCCCGCTATTCGCGAAAAACCTCAGGGGGGGGGCGGATATCCGCCCCCCCGTCGGTGCGCGGGTTAACAATGATGGTTTAGCGCAAATTCAGGGCTGCGGAGTCGATGGATTTTAGGGTGACTCCGACTCCGACTCCGACTCCGGCTTTAAAAATCGACTCCGACTCCGACTCCAGCTCCGACTCCGACTCCGGACGGTTCTATTAAAATCCATATCGTGCAATACTGAAGCTCATAATGGATATGTTTTATCTTGCCTGAAACGATCCCTTGTGCGTTCCAGGGCTTTGCGTTGCAAATATGCATAAAAACAATATTCAGAATTAACAAAAAGCTTGGGAATTCACCGTCTTCTGCTTCTTTCTCTGAAAACGTTCGTCCAAAACAGCGAAGTGGTCATTTTTTTTCGACAAAATCTATAATTTCGAGAGCAGTATCGTGGCAATTCAACAGGTGCAGTGCATGACGTGGAGCCATGCAGCGTTAACTCCGACTCCGGAGTCGGAGTCGGTAAGATTTTGGCGACTCCAACTCCGACTCCGACTCCGGGCAGAATTGTCGACTCCGACCGACTCCAACTCCGACTCCGACTCCGACTCCGCAGCCCTGGTGTGGAGAAGGAAATCATGCCTCCCACTCCCGATGGAGGCCCCAAATGTCGGACCCCCCTTTTTTGTATCTGTCTGGGTGTCTGGGGCGCATAGCGACACGGGACGGCCGGCTCGCTGGCCGGCTGCCCGTCCGCCGTCCGGTCACGTGCTTGCGTCCCGACACCCACCATAAAACCATGTTCTTCGGAAATACACTCTCTCACTTCTCCTCTACCGACTGTGACGCCAACACCATCCGCGGACCCCGGCTCCGACGAGGGCGGCCGAAATGGCCGGCCCACAATTGGTGGCAGCGGTGGGATACGAACCCACGCCCTTTCGGACTGGTGGGGCGGCCGAAATGGCCGGCCCACACTGGGTAGAATAATTGGCAAATGGAGACGCGAAAGTTCACTACGCTCGCCCAGCCTCGCGATGGTCCATGCTTCCATCCCGCCTCACTCCTCAGCCCTCGCCATCCGCCGAGCTGCGCCGCCCAGAGCCATGCCTCCGGGCTCGGCCCTCACCGCTGCGCTGACGTCACAGGCGGCCCACATCACCTTCCAGCCACCGACCCATAGGCGTAGGAACGTTTTCGAAAGTGGGGGGGGGGGGCAGGGTCCCAGAGATCCAAAACCTAACCTACCCCCAAAATCCGATTTCTCCTCGGATTTCGGCCACTTTGTTTTCGCAAACATGCTCAGAGGTAAAAAAAATAGAGACAAAAAAAGAAAAAAAAATTGGTTGAAATTTCAGGGAGTCTCCACTCTCCCGTCCATAAACTCAAACTGATGGACGCGTTCCCCTGTCCTCCGCAGCCGTTGGCACCCATGCAAATTCCAGAGGCATCCAGCAACTTTTTCATTACGAGCAAGCGTGAAACGTGCAAAGCGAGTCTTTTCAATATACCTATAAAAATCAGCATGAACGGCCCAGCTAGGCTCAGCCAGGCCTATAACGTTTTAAGAGGTTTTATATCAGCGACCACTGCAACTGGGCTGATTGACTTTCACTTATCAGAGGCCGGTGTGGGACTTTTAGACGGTCTGGGCCTTCAGAGGCCAGTTTAACCCTCCACGGCCCGGTCCTATAGGTTTTCTACATACGCGCTGGCCGAGGGGGCGGGGGCGGGTACGACCCCCCTCGCCGTTTCGCCCCAGGTGGAGCTAGCGCGTCGCGGTAAAACGAGCGTGTGCGCCGTTACGAGACGCAGAGAGCAGTTTGCAATGTATAAATCCCATTCACTTCTATGGCTTAAGTCGGGATAGACAGGGCACACAGAGTGGGCTTGCCGGAGTTCAGCCCGCTCGGGCCCAGAGTAATCTCCATTATATAAATGGATTCACTGCTCGGGCTTAAATCGGGCTAACGCCAATCGTCGCTCAACTAGGGGTAAACTACGGCTGTCCGGAGCTCGCAGAGCGGGCATACCTCCGGCAGAGCATGGGCTTTAGTCGGCGTTTTTGTGTCATGCCAGAGATCGATACCCGATTTTATGGTCCTAGGTCAACCAGTGACCTCTGACACCGTTCCGTGCTTCTATCCTCAGGATACTGAAATCCTTCTCCTCCACACCGCAACCGGCGCAACCCCCTCCGGGCTGGACAGGCAACTTTATCTCATGCGGGCTGCTCCCTTGGAGCGGCACCGCTGCTCCCGAGGGAGCGCACCCCGTAGCCGGGTGCAGTGAGTGCCTTGGGGCTGGGTGGCCTGTCCTCTGGACGGGCTCAGCCCCGGCGACTCACTAGGGTGCCTGCCCAGACCAATGTCTCCCCCTATGTATAGGTATCCTATCATCCTTCCGACTCTGAAATGGTCTCATTGGACTGAAAGGGCCTAACCCAACAAAACAAACAAAAACCGGTGACCTCTGAGGTCAGGTCAAGTGCCTCAAGGCACGGTTCCGTTTTTGGTGAATAACTTCGCAAAAAAATGGCCGCAGAGCCGCGATTTTGCCAGCATCGTGTTCGCCTCTCTCAGGCGCGTCGAATGATATACTTTTTGTTTGGGTGAGGTAAACTTAGGGTGTTGACCTCGGGTCACGGTCAGGTCGGCCGTCGGCGTCCCCAGGTCACGAAATTGGTCGAAGGAGGTCATGTCGCATATCATTCGATTCGGCAGGTCTTCTTGAGTCCATAGGTGGCTTTCCCGACTCGCTAGCTCAATTTGATCGGTACCTAGTTATTGACAAAAAACTCTTATTTCCACACACTTATTTCACACTCTCTTATCACACTCTCTTAAACACACTCTTATTTCCAAAGGTACCCATGAACAAAAGGCAACCTTTCATTTGTAGCTAATTTTGAATGAAATTGGGGAAATTGTAGGTAGGGTAGGTGCATAGGTCCGTCCAGAAAAGGCAACCCTGGGATTTACATAATTGTCCACCCCTGTCAAGGTCGCATTAATCATGCAATATGTTTATTCACCAGATACACACCCAAAACTTCTTATATCCATCTCATTTCTAAATTCTACCTGACTCAAACCAGATCTTCATCTTAGTGCCTTGACCAGATCCACAAAACGAAACCGGTTGGCGCAATAAACATATCAGATATGTCTCTTCTGCGCTGAATTTGAAAATTTACGCGCTAAATCGCTAAACTGCTGCATGTTTTAGACGGTGTTAATTCTACCTGCAAAGCACAGATTATCCGTGACAGAAACGGCACCGTGGCCCATCTTTTTGTGTTTAGTTGGTTGAATCGTGTTTAAAGTAAAGAGCGAATCTCAGACATTGGAGTGCTCTCAAAAGTGGGGGGGGCCACACACATTACTGGCCCCCCCCCACTCCAAAATGGTGGGGTGGCCGTGGCCCCCCTGGCCCCCCCGGTTCCTACGCCTATGCACCGACCCAGACCGGCATAGGCGGCGGAACGGGGAGCCGGGAGGGCACCGGGGCACCGTACCGGCCCCTTTGATTTTCGGCATTTTAACATTAGCCCTATGGGCGTCCGGCGTTGCATGGAAAGAATGGGACCAAAATTCGGCAGTGCTCCCCCCCCATGAGATTTGGGGGTGTTCCGCCGCTACTGCAGACCGGTGTCATACGGTGTGGGTAGGCTGTGCCGCTTGACAAGTAAGTGAAGCGGCACAGTCTACCGGTACCAGGCGGCTGCTGCCAATGCTGAGCCATAGGAACCCGGTGGATAAAGAGTTGTAGAACATCACTCTGCCCCCCGAGTGTACTCCGACTCGGTAGTTATTGACCAAAACTCTTCAATCGTCGTGTGAAGGAAAAAGGAGCATTTTCCTAAATATGGTAGCTCAGCAAAACAAGGGCAATTTGGAAGCATCTCTTTGATTCATATGTGGTGTGGTGGTGCGCCATTATTTCTGCAATTTGTTTGCAAACTGCACTGAACTCTATAATAAAACAAACTGAAACAAACTGAGGCAAACTGAAACAACAAAACAATAGTAGGGATTGGACGCATTTGATTTGCAGTGTGTGAGGTGAATTTCTGGAATATTTTTATGCCTCTCTTTTGAATTTATCGCTCAGACACTTAGGCTTACATTTCACGACGTCCAAATATGAATTGGATCTAACGAAGGAAACCTAGTAAGTGTAATGCCAAAGAAATCCTAATCCTCTTGTTGGGGATCGGAGTGGGTGGAAGGAGGCAATAAAATGAATGTATTGATCTCAAATGGAGGAATACGAATACAGGAAAATACCTCATAAGTCATATCCATCTGTGGCCTGTTCCACTTGCGGTGCTGGAAGGAAAGTTCTGAACATCAATGCGCATTTATTGCAATTCTAGCTTCAATTTATGCTCAAAAATCAAAAAGTAGATAACCATAGGAAATTACCTTTAGAAAAACATGAAAATAAAAATTGCAAAAACGTCAATCGCTAGCCACGTTATTGTAAAGTCACTCATGTTGCTCTTGCCGTACTGGAGCCTTTCTTCTTGAACCGTCGTGTCTTGAAACAAGCACTGGTGCTAGTACCTATTAGGGCTTTAAATATAATTGATTTACATGCAAAGTATTTAGTAATGATGGTTTCTTGTGTTAAGCAGTCAGAAAAGAGGGTCAGGACTCAAAGTGTTGTTTCATTACAAGGCCTTATTTTGATTTTTTAAATTGATGCAGGTTTGGCGGGGTGGTGTAACTTGCACCAGTTACTGGTGCAAGTTTGACATAATGACATCACACCTCTGCTCTGCTGGCAGTGCAGACAGGTTGGCAAAATGTTTTGATGGGACCAGGGACAGTAGCAAAATATGCAGCTGACTCCTGAGCAGAAAAATGCAGTGATTTTTTGTCATTGATGTGAACTGATTTCAGATAAAAAGCTCTAAAGTATGTATATCACACATGCATTTGCTAAACTTTAAGGTGGCAGTGATTCCTGATTTGTATCTCACATTCAGTCAAGGAAGAAACATGCAGCAATTAAACTGTTTTTTTTTTTGCACCACATTGACATTGAGGGCAAAATAATCTGAATAGCATGATATTATGCCATTCAGCAGCAGTTTTTTTGCTGTGCCTTTCATGTCTTTGAACTTTGAAGCTCTATCCCTTACATTGCCAACTATGCATACACCATGAAATAATGTCCCATTACAGTGTATGATAGCACAGGCCTCTGGCTGCAACTGCCTCCCATCATGATTCTCCTATATATCATGCCAGAGCAGCTCAAGCCTGAGTTCTCACCACCAGGCTTCCAGTACTCTACCAACCCCATAAAAGCTCCCATGTCTACAGTACAGGTTAGTTGTACTTAGTCATAAGTTGTAGCCCTCAGTTCATGGAATCATGTGTAAAAGCAGTATCTTTGCCAGAAGTTTTTTATATAAATTCAGTCAAGACATTTTGAACTCTGATTTTGAATGGAGGGATTCACAGGGACCCGACTAAGCAGAGCTTGTTACCTGCCCCTCTCCACTTCCTTTTGATCGCTCATTTCCTATGGTAGAATTTAGCCTTGGAATTTAGAGTCCAAAGTTTAACCCTCGCCTGTATTGGTGCTTTTTTCCAGCCGCGAACGTATAAGGGGGGGGGGGTGAGGGTCCGTTGGATCGCCCTGCCGTTTCGCCCCTGATCGAGCTAGAGCTTCGCGGAAAAATGGGCGTGCTGCCCGTGACGAGAGGAACCCGATGATGCCCAATTTTAAGGTCCTAGGTCATTGGTTGACCTTCCAGGTCAGGTCAATGACCCCAACCAATGACCCAAAATTCGGGAAAATTGGGACTCGTTAGAACGTCGTAAAGGGTAGCTGCTATGTTTTTTTTTCGGGGTGCTGATCACGAACATCATGTTAGTTTTGATCACAGATGATGTCTTCATGCATTTAGGCCAGGTTGGGTCAGGTCAGGTCAGGTCAACCAGAAGAGGTCCTGCCGAGTATTTGAAGTAGGTGTCAACCACCTCTGACTGCTTTGTAACATGTTACGAAGGCACCAAAACTACTTCGTAAATGTTCTTATGGCTGCTGAATTCGAATTCAGCTTCAAAAACTAGCCTAGAAACATGTAGAACTCGAAAGTGAACCGAGTTCATCAAAGGTCAATGACCTGACCTGACCTTCAGGTGACCGTGACATCCACCCTAATGCATGGGGCGAACATCATATCACATGTTTGAACGTTTGAAACCACGAAAAGACTGCAAACGCGCGGCTAATGCGAGCCGACATACGCCGAATCGCGATTCCGGCCAAACATGGTCTCGAAAAGTAGGTCACAGTTCAAAGGTCATTTGGGTCAGGGTCATGAAATTTTCAGGGTAGGTGTAAAATTGATTAACGCGAGGGTACTGAAAGTTCCGTCGCGATCGGCCGCTTTTTACGCGAGCTATTCGCGAAAACCGAGGGGGGTGGTCCGTTCGCCCCCCCCCCCCCCCCTATATGGGCGAGGGTTAATGTACGCACATAGTCGCGCACGGCCGGTTCCCTCACTGACTTTATGACTTTGACTGGGCTACGGTCTGCCACCAACCGCAACCATACCTGTCAGGAGGTTCATGAAGATCGAGCGCCTGTCGAGCCTCGAACCCAGCCTTTTACAACCGGGACGCGTACTCTCACCTCGAGGAGTCCAACGATCTACCAACTGAGTTACGGGACGGGCAAAGTTCTCCAAAACTGTTCTGGAAAAGTTGTACCTAAATAGCTCACTGTGTTACGATTATCCCCTGCAACCCACCGTGTCTGTATTGTAACCCTCAGCTCCTAATGTTGTCTGAGACCCCTGTGTCTGTCCCACAGCCGCCTGTCCAGCCTGTGAGCCGTTGGGACCTGCCGCCCCACCTCCCCTCGCCGCCCAGCCATGACGTCGGCACTGCTGAAGGACCGGGCGCAGAACGCGTTCCAGGAGCAGTGGCCCAGCATGGAGCCAGTGATCCAGCGGCTGCTCCAGCAGGATCCGGTCACCAAGGCCGACTGGCAGAACCTGTTCTGGTCCACCCACACCGTGTGCCTGTGGGACGAGAAGGGCGCGCCCAAGGTCTACAGGTACCTCCAGGTTAGTGGCTGTTGTTAGCAGGGTGGCACAAAGACTACTGCAGATACATGACCAATGGCTGAGAGATAAATTAGCCAGATTGAACCCACTTCTGATGGCTGAGTGTTTGCTGGGGCATTAGGCAGCTGATATATCGTCGCTGATAAGCTACGAGTTTGTTACAAAAACCGTATGTTTATGGTACATCAATTAAGGACCATTTTTAGTGCATCCATTTCCATCCATTTTTATGTAATTTTTAAAACAACTGTTGATACATAATCCATGGCAGAGTATCCAATGTTGAATGGTTTCGAACTTTTTTTTTAGTTAGCAGTGTTACTGGTAAATGAAATCCTAAATCCTTTCCGTCGACCTGACGAGTTTTCCGATGTCACCACCAGGAGGCAGTGCAGTCGTTCGTGAAGCTCGCCTATGACCGCATCGGTCAACACGAGGGCGAGTACGAGACTCTGAAGGCGTACATTGGCGAGTGGGACCGGTTCTTCACACAGTGCAGCTACCTGCCACTGCCGTTTGGGCAGCTCGAGCAGGCGCTCTCCGGCAAAAACACCAACAGCAACAAACCGAAGCAGCCGCACGAGAGCATCGTCAGGAAGCTGATGCTGGATACGTGGCAGGATGTGATCTTCTCGCAACTCAGGGTACGTTATGAAGCTGGGTCAGGGGTTGACCTGGGTTCATCAGTCATGAACGGTGATGAAGCTGGATCAGGGTGGGTCGTGTTTAGCCAGGACTGGATAGGTGATTATCCTGGGCCAGGGTGGGTTGATCTGGGGTCAGTAGAATCAGAATGTGCGATAAATGGGCTGGAAGCTGACCAGGGATCAGGGTGATTTGACTCGAGGACAGTGTGGTTTAAGTCGATCCTTTCATCTACCCCTCACCCGGTTCTGTGTCTGGACCGCTCCTCCCTCCCGTCTACCTCCGCTCCCCTCTGGTATGGTTGTTTTCAGCTTTTCGCCTCTCCTTCTGGCCCCACCCCTCCTCTCTTGCTCTGCTGCAAGACATTTCTTGTTCTGCCCCCCCCCCCCTTCTACCCCAGCCCCCTCTGTCTGTCTGTATCAGAACCGTCTGCTGCGTGTTATTTCTCCGTGTAAGCCTGGCCCCTCTCCCGTCAAAACTATCTGTTGCGTGGCACCGTCTCTCAGTATAACCCCGCTGACCTCCGTCCATCAGGACCGTCTGCTGCGCGCCGCCATGCACCTACTGGACACGGAGCGGCGCGGTACCTCCATCGAGGGCGCCCACCTGGTGGTCGGCGTACGGGACTCGTTCGTCCACCTGTGTACGAGCACAGAGGACCGGCTCGAGTCCTACCGACAGCACTTTGAGACCGTGTACGTGGAGTGTCTGACGCGTTACTATCAGAGTCATGCGGCCGAGTTTCTGGCTGATAACGGAGTACATGACTTCATGCGGTACGCAGACAGCAAGCTGAAGGAGGAGGAGGAGCGGGGACTGAAGTACCTGGAAACCAGTGGAGACTCGCTGAAAAAGGTACGAGTTACGAGTGCGTGGCTTATTTTTGGCGAAGGTTTGGGTGCATATTTCTTAATGAAAGCATAGATAGGGTTTTTACGAGAGGATGGGTGCAAAATGGCCATTGACCATTGCAGACTGCAGTGGGCACGCCCTAAAAACCAAATAAAGAGGCTTTTGGAGTGAACTGGACTTTGTGGCCGTCAAAGGAGTATAAAGGCCTGGCTACACTATGCGTTTTCTGCGTGCGTTTTTTGCGTGTTTGCGGGTTTTGCGTAATATCGTTCTAGAAAAATAAACGATATTACGCTTTTGTGATGTTTTTTATATTCAATTGTTGTTAATATAAGAGTTATATTAACTTTTGCATATAACTAATGTAAAAATTATATTATTTTTTACTTTTTGCTAGAAGGATATTAGGCAAAAAACGCAAACCCGCAAAAAACGCACGCAGAAAACGCATAGTGTAGCCAGGCCTTAAGGCTCTCTGATTGCCCTTATTCACTCCATATTCTCCTGCCTTCACTCTCGTCGTGTCCCTACCACATCCATGAGTGGCCACTAGACCAGTGCGTCTAGCTGACCTCCTCCGGCCTTTAGTCGGCGGGAGAACCTTATTAGTGTTATTTTCATGACTAATATGTGAAACGAACGCCCCCGCCCTTACATGGTTATCCCAAAATATTTTGCCACCACTCAGTGCATTAAACTGACTTCTCGTTACCGTCTTCAGATCCGTGACCGGTGCGTACATCAGACCCCTTTCTGTTCTCCAGATCCGTTACCAGTGCGTACATCTGACCCCTCTCTGTTGCTATAGATCCGCGATCAGTGCGTCCAGCTGCTGGTGACGCGGTACCGGGACTCTATCCTCGCCGAGTGTCCCACCATGGTCCGACACCACGACACGGACAAGCTGTCTCTGATGTTTGGCCTGCTCGACCGGGGCACGGAGGCCGGCGGAGGCGCCGGAGGGGTGGAGCCCATGCTGAGGGTGGTTGAGGACCACATCAAGTCGGCGGGACTGGACGCCATGATGGCCAACGCCGACACAATCACTCAGGTGAGAGCTGCGGGTGGGGGCTGGGGTGCGCGCGTGCGAGTGTTGGTTTGTTGTTAGGCTGGTCATTCGTTCATTCTTTGGGTTGCTTGTTGCTTGTTTGTTGTTTTTTCGCTGTCTTTAGTTCCTTTGTGAGTTGTTACTTGTTAATAGTTTTGATCGTTCGTTTGCGGCTCACACGCTCATTTGATTGATATATGAGTTCAATATTTACTTTGTTAGATTACTTAATTATTTTTACGGGCTTCCCATATTTTCTACTTCGTTTGTCCGTTCGTCCGTTTGTTGGTTCTTTCGTTCGTTCTTTCGTTCGTTCGTTCGTTCGTTCGTTCGTTCGTTCGTTCGTTCGTTTGCTCGTTCGTTGTCTGACTAGCTCGTGTGCTCGTGTGTTCGTTCGCTCTGTGACAGTGACTCAGTTGTCTGCCCCCAGCACTATGAGCGGTACGTGATGTGACTGTGATTATTGACTGTGACTGTGACTGCCGTTTATTCCAGGACTGTGAGCGATACGTTATGTGACTGTGTATTGACTGTAACTGTGACTGCCGTTAGTTCCAGGACTGTGAACGGTACGTGATGTGACTGTGATTATTGACTGTGACTGTGACTGCCGTTAATTCCAGGACTGTGAGCGGTACGTGATGTGACTGTGATATTTACTGTGACTGTGACTGCCGTTAATTCCAGGACTGTGAGCGGTACGTGATGTGACTGTGATATTTACTGTGACTGTGACTGCCGTTAATTCCTGGACTGTGGGTGGTACGTTATGTGACTGTGATATGGGCTGTGACTGAGCCTGCTTTTCATTCCAGAGCTGTGAGCGGTACGTGATGTGACTGTGGTATTGACTGTGACTGTGACTGTGACTGTGACTGCCGTTAATTCCAGGACTGTGAGCGGTACGTGATGTGACTGTGATTATTGACTGTGACTGTGACTGTGACCGCCGTTGATTTCAGGACTGTGAGCGGTACGTGATGTGTCTGTGATATTTACTGTGACTGTGACTGCCGTTAATTCTAGGACTGTGAGCGGTACGTGATGTGACTGTGATTATTGACGATGACTGTGACTGTGACTGTCATTCCAGGACTGTGAGCGTTACGTGGAGCAGCTGCTGGAGCTATTCCAGAAGTTCAGCGCCCTAGTGCGGGACGCGTTTCACAGTGATCCGCGCTTCCTCACATCGAGAGACAAGGCCTTCAAGGACCTCGTCAACGACACCAGCGTCTTCAAGTGGGTGACATTTAGGAAGGACGGAGGGCTACCCTACGGCCTAGTGGCTGACTTTTGTTTGAGGTCTCTTTTTTATTGTTCACTTCTTTCGTCTGCTACTTTCAGTTGCTTTTTTGCTGCCTTGATTATGTCCGTTTCTTCCATTTCTCTTCGTCCTTTCTCCCTTACTCTGTCTGCCAGTGAATCACGGAAAACGACATACATGCTTATTGCTGTTGGTAAATGTAAGATGTGTAGTGTTTGTGTGCTGTAATTGGAGTTCATTTAGCTACATTGATTGATATAGATAGACATTTCCAATTACAATAAGCTACATTGGTTTCATGGTTACTGCTACAATATGAGGCAGTTACCTATGTAGTTCGATGCTATCTGACCTCTGACCCCGCACCTCTGTCCCTTGACCTAACATGCGACTTCTGACCTCCGACCTGGTGTGACCTCTGGCCTCTGACCCGACCTGCGTCGCTCAGACTGGAGCTGCCGGCTCGGGGTCGTGCCGGCGGCCCTCTCTGACTCCTGACCCCTGACCTGACCTCTGACCTTATCTGACCCCTGACCTGACATCTGACCTGCCCCTGCAGACTGGAGCTGCCGGCTCGGGGTCGCGCCGGCGGCCCGCTTTGACCTCTGACCTGCCCCTGCAGACTGGAGCTGCCGGCTCGGGGTCGCGCCGGCGGCCCGCTTTGACCTCTGACCCCTGACCTGACCTCTGACCTGCGCTGACCCCTGACCTGACCTCTGACCTGCTCTGACCCCTGACCTGACCTCTGACCTGACCCTCCTGCAGACTGGAGCTGCCGGCTCGGGGTCGCGCGGGCGGCCCGCTCTGGCCCCTGACCTGACCTCTCACCTGACCCTCCCGCAGACTGGAGCTGCCGGCTCGGGGTCGCGCCGGCGGCCCTCTCTGACCCCTGACCCCTGACCTGCCTCAGACTGGAGTTACCGGCTCGGGGTCGCGCCGGCGGCCCGCTAAAGTCCACGCCCGAGTCTCGGTGTCCGGAGCTGCTGGCCAACTACTGTGACATGCTGCTGAGGAAGACCACATTCAGCAAACGGCTGACCGCCGACGAGGTAAGGCACCCATGTCAGTACTCAGTTAGCGGCAGAGAGGGGTACGGGGTTACTCCTGTTCACGTAATTTTTTAGAGTTGTTCATTTCCTCTTTTTCTGACAGACACATGGCTAGCAGTGTGTTACAATTGCGCACTCATTTCTCTGTATCCATGTTGGTGATTATGTATGTTTGTTGCTCTGTAAGCTTGAGCACGTCTCTCTCTCTCTCTCTCTCTCTCTCTCTCTCTCTCTCTCTCTCTCTCTCTCTCTCTCTCTCTCTCTCTCTCTCTCTCTCTCTCCCTCCCCTCTCACTCACTCATTCCCCCGCTCTCCCCCCGCCAGGTTGACGAGAAGCTGCGCTCGGTGCTCTGCCTGCTGAAGTACGTGCAGAACAAGGACGTCTTCATGCGCTACCACAAGGGCCACCTGTCTCGGCGACTGATCCTGGACACCTCAGCAGACTCGGAGAAGGAGGAGAACATGGTGGACTGGCTCAGGGGCATCGGCATGCCGGCGGACTACGTCAACAAGCTGTCCAGGATGTTCCAGGTAAGGGGGGATGTGGGATACCAGTGTTGTGTCAGCAAATTGTGTAGGTTGTAGGTAAGGATGGATGTGTGTGTGTGGGGGGGGGGGGGGGTATTTAACTCCGTCAACAAGTTGTCCAGGATGTTCCAGGTGATGAGAGCTGGGGCTGAAGGGTTATTTCAAGACACCCGAAATTGATGCCCAGTACATTCAGAACGATACTGGAGTTACAGGAAGTTGAAGGATACTGATAGACTGAGCTAGGCGAAGAGAGCTATGTTAAAATGCTGCCTAGAAGCTTCATCGCAAGGGAAGTCTGTGACAACATTTTTACGGGACGTGGCTCGTGAGTTCTCCAATTGTTTCAGGCTTTTGCTTGTACCATCTATTTAAGATCTATATGTGTGAGCAATCTGCCCCCCTCCCCCCTCCCAGGATAGATTCACCCCCAAACACTGTCAAGCCCTCGTCTTGCCTTCTTTCCAGGACGTGAAGGTATCCCAGGACCTGAACGCCGAGTTCCACGACTCACGGCCCAACGTGGCCGATAACGTCAACATCAAGATCCTGAACGCGGGCGCGTGGGCGCGCGGCAGTGAGCGCGTATCGGTGACGCTGCCCACCGAGCTGGAGGACTACATTCCCGAGCTGGAGGAGTTCTATCGGGCCAAACACAGCGGCAGGAAGCTGCAGTGGCACCACCACATGTCAAACGGAACCATCACCTTTACCAGCAAACTGGTATGGAGGGAGACGGAGAGGGGAAGGGAGGGATCCTATGGACTGGAATAGATAGGGTGCTTTAAGACTGTGGAAAACTTACGTGCTGGACGTTTACTCCCTTTTAGTTCGCGGCGAAATAATCCTGTCGTACTGAGCTTACGTCGGCTGTCGTTTAAATTCCCGGCATTGAGGTTGTACTGGAGTGACACATCACTAGACTAGGATATTCTAGCGATGTCGTTTTCCGATGAGAACTTCCGTGGTGATTGCTTGTTACCGTCAGTTTTTTTTTTTTGCGTTTTAAGAATAATCGTTATCCTGGTTCCGAATTTTTGCTATTTTGTCATTTTATTCAGATTACATTGAGGATTCGGTCAACTAAATATGCTCATAATCAACATGATGATTTTCCTCACAACGCTAACTCTCAAATAATCGCTATCGTCTTCTACCAACAAAATCACTGACTGACCCGCACTGAGAAACCCGCACTGACTCCTAACCTGCCCTCTGGCTCGCCGTCTAACCATCCCTCTAACCAGCCCTCTGACCTCCCCTCTCTGACCACCTCTCTGACCCGTCCTCTGTTCCAGGGCCGGTACGATGTGGACATCACCACCTTCCAGATGGCCGTGCTGTTCGCCTGGAACCAGCGGCCGGCGGAGAAGATCAGTCTGGAGAACCTGCGCCTGGCCACCGAGCTGCCGGATGCCGAGCTGCGCCGCACGCTCTGGACACTGGTGGCCTGCAGCAAACTCAAACGGCAGCTGCTGCTCTATGCGCCAGAGGTGCGGCGTGATGGGGAGGCAGGGGGGGGAGGGGGAGGGGCAGGACGGGTCAGGGTGGGAAGGTGGGATTTGTCAAATGTGGCGTAATAGTTTCTGTTTGTGGGCGTAATACAATGTATGCAGCTGATTATGAATGGAAGATCATGATTTGCTCATGGTTATGATCATTTATCATCATGATTAGCCATCGATTTACGGCATTGGATAACTCGGTAGAGTGTTATGAGAGCTGGCATTCTTTGGTTATCCAATATCCTGCATCTTTTTTCTGGTTTCCTGGTTGAAATTCTGGTCATTTCCCTGCTGTTGCGCCGTCATTATTCCTCAGTCTCATGAGTGCGCTTCTGTCTGGGTATTAATCCTGCTCGTCGCCCCTCGGCCCTCACATCCTGCGACACCCGTCTGACGGCTCATCCATCTCTTCTGCGGAATCGCCTACCACTGGGGTGACGGAGGCGATCCTCCCGCTGACGCCACCTCTCTGACTCTGACCCTGTCTCCCGCCCAGGTCCACTCTGCCAAGGAGTTTGTTGAAGATACCCAGTTCTGGGTCAACCAGCAGTTTGCCGTCGTCAAAAACGGCAAGCCCATGCCGCGGGGCAAGGTCAATGTGATCGGGCGACTTCAGCTCAGCACGGAAAAATCCCGAGAAGAAGAGAACGAGGGCATCATCCAGCTGCGGATACTGCGGACGCAGGAGGCCATCGTCAAGATCATGAAGATGCGGAAGGTGACGACGAACGCCCAACTGCAGACTGAACTGATCGAGATCCTCAAGAACATGTTCTTGCCGAGTAAAAAGATGATCAAGGAGCAGATCGAGTGGTTGATCGAGAACAAGTACATGAAGCGAGATCCGGACGATATTAACAAGTTTAAGTATATGGCCTAGTAGGGGTTGTCTGCCTTTCTGTGATGATACCGGTGGGTGGGGTGACAGTGACACAGTGACAGGTGACAGTGTGTCACTGTGACAGTGACAGTGACACAGTGCGCCGGCGGCAAGACGGCTGTTTTTTAGTGCATATATTGGTGCGGGCGAATGTGAGTGATTGGTGCTGCAGATTAATGCGGGACGTGGCGCGCGGTGTAATTATGCCAATATGTGGGCGTCAGTGAGACGCTCTCCTCTCCGAGGCAGGAAACTGCCGCTCCGCCGCGGCGGGTTTATATGTGCCACCAGTCGGATGGCGAGTAACCTGCGCTTTGTGTCTTGGCCGAGAGAAGAGATGGCAGGGCGGGCAGCTTGTGCCGCTTAGTATGGCATTATGGCGGTGTTCCCGCGCCAGTAGGATAAGTCGATGAAGAAATGGTGCGTAATAAATCTCATGGCAAATGCTGATTAGATTTTTTTTTGCATCACATACGTTTGCCTTTTAGAAAATAGCTATACCTCATGCCGAGCGCGCTTTAGTCAATGCCATTCCTGACTTCAGCAAAGGAGATCTGGCTTCTATAGATGGCCTTAGTCTGGCTTCTGTTTTGTGTTGTTATCTCAGTGGAGTTCACGAATTGCTGGGCCCTGTTTCACCGGTGATAGCAGCACGCTGCTATCAAATTGCGCGAGCTGACGTAATGTGATGACGTCATACTGCTGACGTAAGGGGCAATTCTGGCGCACGATTGCCGCAATATTGTTTTACGTCATCAGCTAAATGTTCGAAGTTAATGTCCAAATTTTTCCTAAACCCAACTTCTTTTAAACACATCATATTGAAAAAATATATATCAAAAATATATATAATATCATGACTGCGTAAACTCTTACTTTTAGGCTCATACGTCACTTAATGCCGCCGCCAAGGTCGCGGCAATCGTGCGCCGGAACTACCCATTACGACAACAGTATGGCGTCACGACATGACGTCAGCTCGCGAAACGTGATAGCAGCTTGCTGCTATCACCGGTGAAACAGGGCCCAGATGTCATCAGGGTGAATCAAGGAAATATTTGAGCTGTTTCGATTTAAAGAAAACTTGCTAAGAGTGCACATCAATCCAGTACCAAACACCAGTCACCAGCTATGACTGCGATGTTTTTTCTTATGTCTCGGGGTACTTTCTCATAAGTTTTTGATGCATAAAACCGTTCTTCAGGAGATCGACGCCGATATACAGCTCTAGAGATGTTAATTGACCTTTTCTAACAAAATAAAAGGAATACGACGCCTTTGAATGGAATGAATATTTTAGTGGCAGTTACTTCGATGATTCCACAATATTTTGTCGCAGCAGCGCAAATCACGTCAATATTTTGGGACCTGTTCAAATTTTACCTAATTGATGCCATCATAGCGCATGTGACGGCAGCTTGTAAGGGCAGTCCTGCTAGCGTACGCCTGTTTTTCTGAAAAATAGAACATAATTTTCAATTATTCCTTTGTAATTGTCATGGTCGGGAGCGTTCCCACAAAATTTCAACACCGCTATATATTGACGATTTTCGTGGAGTTTTGGCATATCTCCGGTGTCAGTTTATGAGAATACATTGTATAGACATTCGTAGCACTTGCAGTTTCACTGTTTCAACCCGGTAAGTACAAGCCTGGCCATACAGATAAGGCCTTACCTACATTGTGCTCTTAGTCAATAAAAAAGACAATTCCTCTAACTAATTAGCTGAGTTAAGTCTTCTCAGTCGTCGGTTCCACCCATCGGGTGCACCATCAGCTTGTCCTCCCTGATGACCCTCTGCTGTCCCTTATCTCAGCCTTTACGTTAGGTACTGTGCAAGACGCTAGTGGTGGCACCGGGCAAGGAGAGACTGGGAGGATGAGGACAGGATTCTTTTCTTGTCCTGCTCGTTTCAACTGCTGTCGACATGCAGACTGCAGTTCCTTTTGTATCCTTGTCTTGTATAGGTAATTGATCAACAAGGCCTCTTCTGAGTCAGCATTGCGGACAGTCAGCTTCGCAGGTAGAGTCCTATTTAACCTCGCATTCCACCTCCTCTGTCCTTCCTCACGTTCTTGCCGCAGTTCCACACACTCATAAAGAAAGTGTTCAAGAGTTTCTGTTGCTTTCATGCATAATGGACAGATCTCATTTCGCTCAGCGTGCCTTCTTAAGACTCCTGTGGCAAGAAGCGACTGCTCCGTTAGAAGTCGTATCCTCGTGCCTGTCGCTTGTCTGCCAATAACACTTAGTCTGTTTTTCGGCCAGAATTGATTCGCTGGCTCGTATTCTTCCATATTTTGTGCAATATCGGCGATCCGCTGTATAGTTTGTCTCTTGCTAGCTTCTTCTATAATCATTGCTTTAGTATACGCGTTGATGGCTTGTTTGCAAACTTTATACCAGCTCTTACCCTGTACTCCATTTGTTGTCATCATTTGTATTATGCCTGGTAGCTTCAATGCGGTAAAGTAATGTTCCCATTGCCTTAGTATGCTCGAGCTCCTGTCCTTGTTGAGAGCACCGTGCAGTATCATGTATTCCGTCAGTGCATGCTCCCGCGCTGCTTTAGCGAGAAACTGAATGAATTGCATAGCTGCTTTCATTATCATCACCTTAGGGGGTAACGCTCCAAGCATCATGTACACAGCTAAGTTCTGGGTTCTTCTGGGTAATCCTTGCATAGCCCTCAGAAGTCTTACCACCATCACCTCCAGGTAGTTAATTTCTTGATTTGTGAAAATCGTCACTGGCATGGAGTACAGGAGTATCGGTTCAGCATATATTTTCCATGTGGTGTAAAGAGACAGTGGGCTTGTACGGGCAACGTTAAGGCCTTCTGGGCACCTTGCAAACATCGCTCTTCTCGCCCTTTTCATACCCTCTTCGATTCTCTTTCTTCCTTCAGCCTTGTTGGTCATATGGACGCCCAGATGGGTATATTCTGTGGTTACTTCAATGTGCTCTTTTCCTAGTAACCATCTTCTGCCATCTGCGCATTTCCCATATACCATGATTTTGCTCTTACTTGCATTGTACTGATATCTCCATTTCGTGCTATGACTGTATGCAACATCGAGCATTAACTGCATCTCTGTCGGATCTGTACTAATGAGAACTTCATCATCTGCATATGCAATGATAGGTACTTGTATATCTCCAACTCTTGCTCCAACACGTGCTTGCTGCAGAGTTTGTATCTTATCGTGCATGTAGAGACAGAGCAGGCTAGTGGACAACACTCCACCCTGCTTTAGTCCTTGTTGCATGTTTCCCATCCCAGACTTTTCATTTGCAACCTTCACTCTGACTCTGAACTCTTTATAAAGATTGTAGAGTATCAATACCAGTCTTGGGTGAACATTGCTGGTGATTAGCTTATAGATGAGACCATCGTGCCAAATCGAATTGAAACATTTCCGCACATCCAAGTAGGCGACATATACTGTCTTGCCTATATCTCTATTTGCAGATATTACTTCTCTAAGGATGAAGTTTGCCTGCAAAGTACTCCTGTCACTTTGGTACGCGAATTGTAAATCAGACGGTATTCCGGCTTCTTTGAGCTCCTCACCTAGTCTGTGAATTATAGCCTTTTCGAAAATTTTGCAGGCAGTAGTCAGGACAGATATATCCCTGTAGCTGTCTGTTTGCTCAGTGTTACCTCCGTGTCCTTTGTAGATTGGAGTGACTAGTCCACATTTGAAGTTCTCTGGAATCTCTGTTGTTTTCATTATATCCTGGAGACAGGTTCCTATATCTTGAATAAGAGCGTCTCCTGCCTCTATGAGATGCTCGGCCATAATATTATCTGTTCCTGGTGCTTTCCTTCTTTTCAGTCTTCGAATAATGTTGGATATTTCTGCTTCTGTTATTGGCTTACAGTCTTCTAAGTCTCGTCCTTTTTCCTGGTATTTGTTACATGTTAAGTTGACCACTGCCGTGACATGTTCCTTCCATTTCCTGTTGAAACACGGGTCTTCTATTGGCATGGCTGTTCTAACAAAATGGTGGAGGAACGCCTCAGCAATCTCCAGGGGCTGGTAGATTTCTTTTCCTTCAATTTTCAGTCGTTGTACTTTGCTTCTTCGTACGCATTTTTGTATTCTTTGATAGTACTTGTTTGATAGTTTTTGGCATTCTATTTCTTTTTTAGCATCATCTTCCTTTCGGGCACGTAGCCTATACATTCTTTGCGCATTGATATATTGCCGCTTTTTACTTCTGTATGTCGCTTTCGCAATATCTTTTTCTTCCGCCGGACATTCTTTCCATTTGTCTTTAGCTGCTAAGCATTCTCGTCTCATTTCCGTGAGAGCGCTGTTCCACCACTTACTTGACTTGTTCCTTCTTCCTTTCTTTGGAAGCATTCTCGCTGCTTCTATAATGGTCTTGTTGATACTGTCTATGTCCACTCGCGTCTGTCTATGTTTCCATAGGTAACGCCGATAGGCTTCAATGCTGCCATTCCTTCGTGCCTTCTCCCAGTCAATTTTTTGCTCCTCTGTTTTTTGCTGTTTACATCTCCTTTTCATTTCAACACAGACACATATCGGCTCATGGTCTGACGTGTTGAGAGCGCTTCTTTCTGGAATCTTATACTCTGTTACATACATTGAGTGACCTCTGTCAACAATAAAATAGTCTAGCAGTGATGTTGCTTCAATTTCATTCTTGTAAAATGTGTTATGGCCCTCTATGTTGTTGCAGGGAATCATTAATCCATAGTCAGCTAGCATCGCTTCGACATACTTCTTGTTTGGATGCACGTTTTTAGTCAGGTCCACATTGAGATCACCTCCAACAATGATCATCTTCTCTTCACCATACTCCTCAATTATGCCTGTCACCTTATCTATTGTCTCTTGAAACTCAATGGTTGTCTTCTGAAGTGTGCCAGTCGGCAAATATACAGCAATGACTAGGATGTCAATCTCCATGCCTTTTACAGTTGCCGCCTGAATCCTAGTGCTGCCACGGTGGTCCACTTCAATCATGCCTAGCTCCTTTCTCGTCATAATCGCTACACCCCCGTGCCCACGACCACTTTTGTTCTGTAAGACGGCATAGTCTATATATTCATCATAGCTTACTGCAATCACATCATGTGTTTCGGTCAGTAGGGTTTCACTTTGATTTGCCTTTGAAGTCCATGTTTCATTGAGCAACAGAATATCTGCTTCATCTAATATGCTTTGCATAAACTCACTCTTCTGGTATCCTCTACAGTTATACTGAACGAGTTTTAATTTCTCCCAGTGTCTCCTTCTCTTGTTAGTGCCATAAGACCCTGCGCTCTTCCAGCAGGGCTTCGGCATAGCTTTTCCCTCTCCAACCTGGGCACTGATCTGGGCTTCCACTCGCCCCTTGCCGGTGAAAATTCCCATGCTCTCTCCGGACCCGTCGACTTTCCGGATAGTTCCAGCTCTGCTCTTCTCGACTGTGCCAC